TGTGTACGTTCTGTAGGCTCGACCAAAGATGATCGCTGCCTACACGTACGTCTTCAAAACCTGAACTCGATTATTTTTCCGGTGGCTGGTGTTCCACCCCGACTTGCAGCATGAATTTCGGCGTTCCCTTTCGTGTCACTGACTGCGAGTGTTTGAGGGTTCGGGAGTTCCGAGAATATTGGGAGCACTGTTGTTTGTTTGTACGACCTTGGGCGGAACCTCGGGAATTTCCCTACTTAACGGGGAACGAACGTATTTGCGAGTGGGACCTCGACCAGGCTTTGGGACGTAACCCCCATCTCCCCAGCTACTGTAGCCCATACACGTGTCACGTTCTCACAGGACCTGAAATCCTTATCTCAGGGACTAAATTCCCTCCCTACCACCGCATCCTACCCTACCACTCCCTAACCATTGTCCCCTGGCTCGCAATCGCTCCTTACTGGCCCCAACCCCCATGCTCAGAGTGTCTACGGGACCACGAGTACCGAGCTTCTGGCTTCATCCAGTGAACTCGTTCGGAGGAAGAACGGCGGGCGCAACGTCTTCGATTGAGGCCATCCGCGTCGGATTCGGAGACTTGCAACGTTCAACGTCAGCTGGTGACGAATCAGCGAGATACCCATAACGTACCGATAGTGCACCAGATACGACCCAGACCCCGACGATGGAACCAACGGAGGCGGTAGCTCCGTCCCCCGAAGCAAAACAGAACTCCAGTCCACGCCTACCCTCCTGCATCCGTATCCCGGAGCCTGCCACAGGAGATCTCAGTTCCGACCTAGGACTCCACCCCCACTTTCCTAAAATCCTTGGCACACCCCCTTTTCGCACTTCCAGGCCCACTCACACTCCGATCAGGAAGTCGCATCGGGCGTGAGGTTTGGGCGTTACACCCTACCAATAGATTGGATTCATCTTCTCCTTGGAGTCCTATTTGCAGAGGGTGCTCAAATCACCTCCTCGAAGAGGTTCCTTTAGATGTTTCAAACAAGGGGAAACGACGCGGGAGTCACAAAAAAGAGTTATAATTGCACTACGGGCCAAGATACATTTTCGAATTGTAGTTTGGGCAATGTATAGAACGCAACTTTCTGGCCAGGTAGGTGCGCAGAGAGCAATTGCAAACTGTATCTTGACCCATAGTGCAATTATAACTCGTTTTTGTGACTCTACTGAAGTTACCCCTT